CCCAACCCTGCACCACCCGGATGGGGCTTACCTGGTGTCTGACGGGCGGGCTCCGGACTCGTCGTCTCTCTGCCGTCCGATCGGGAGTCGGTAACCTCTGTAAACCACGTTGGGCGCCAGTTGCGGCTCTCTGGGGGGACCCCGTCCCGCGGGGAATAGGAGGTGAGAGCCGCCTCTTATTCGTGGGTCATCAGAGGCCGATCCGATCTTGAATGTCTGTGGAGGAAATCTTTAAGAAGTTAGAGTACACGGCCCAAGTCTGGTTTCTGATCAAAGGCGCTTTATTGGCTCAGCAAAACGATTATATACTGTTATCCCAGGGGGAGGGTTCAGCAAGCTTATTGGACAGCTCAAGCAAATCCTCTACCAATCACATGAGTCATTCAAGCATTTAACCATACAGCAATCAGTATTTTACCAAATGTGGGGAGGGGTAAGTGCACAATCCCTAGGGGCAAGTAGGACGGGGAAAATACCACCTGCTTCCTGCTCCAGATCCGGTGACCCTGTGGTTAGCACAAAGGGCTATTTTTTCTGTAAGATTTCCTGTTTTGCCCAGGGGCTAGACCTGCCAAAGGTCACGTATGTAGTCTAGTGGGATTTTTCCACTGAGGCAAAGGCTAAGGTTGAGGGCAGCCTTCTTATGCAGGCCCAAGCAGTCTCTCACAGAACACCTGTGCCGGGTGGGACTTATACCAAACTAGATGAACAGATCTTCTAGTCCTAGTAACGAAGCAGGGAGAGCTGGAAAGGGATTAGCCTCCACCTCCTATGGGAGCTGGGGATGACAGTGCAGCAGTGAGAAACTTCTGGTCACCCACACACTGGAGCCAGGAATTTTCACCATCAGCTCGGAAGCCAGGCACAGAGGCTCCAGCCTGCAATCCCAGCACTCGATGAGACTGAGGCAGGAGGATCACCAAGTTTAGCAACTTAAAGACTTAGAGAGACCCTGCCTCAAAAAGAAAGAAAGAAATAAAGATCTGGAGGTAAACTCAGTGCACAAGCCCTGGGTTCAATCCCCAAATTCGGAAAGAATAAAAAATCAGCTCTGAGCATCTCAGATCCTGGGATATTTACTGGTACCTCCTAGCCTTTTTGTTACCCCTCGAAGCTATCAACAGCAAATTTTATTTATATGTCTTTTCCCTCCTTTCAAACTATCTCTAACTCCCAAGGTAGTAATACATTAAGTTTGTGAATTAGAGGAGGACTATAAATTAGAGTGCTTAGGAGATGGCCCGGCTTCCCCCGCCGGATGTGCATCTGGTCGCTCTCCAGGGACTCACGGGCTTTGTTCAGCTAACGGCCTTCTGGCACCAGGCAGCCCTTGTCCAATTAACCTAACAAGTCACCTATAGCTTGCTCCATTTCCGGCTGTGAGGGGCCATACTGAGATGGAGCTGCAAACCTGACTGCCAGCACTTTGGTGCAGAATGTACAGGGCCTGCAGGAAAATGTCTGGGACATCTGAGGCTGCTGATTCAGGAGACACAGCAAGATATGAACAGAGCCCGGGTGTGTGCGTGTGTGTGCGCGTGCTAGTGGTTCCTCTGGCTTCTGCTGTACTGGCTCCAATTAGAATGAATCTCTAATCTCAGGCTACTCAAAGCATGGTTCCCAAGCCAGCATCTTCAGCAGCATCCGACCTTCACTGCACTGGGTGCTTCCCTGACTGTCCGCTGTTAAACCCACCCTACACCTACTGAGTCAGTTAAGACTGCACAGTGAATTTAGAGAGATACGACTTCACCTCAGTCTGGGTCCAACTGACTCTAGGAACCTAAGTCAATACCAAGTCATCTGTGGCATAGCATTACGGGAAAGGACTAACAAAGTAACCATATGTTCCTCATTTATGCTTATTGTCCTAGTGTAACTGTTGAGTCACCCCACTCCCTCTCTTTCTTCCCTGCATGTTCTAGTTTAAAAGTTAGAACTCTACAAGTGTGGCCTTCAGAACACTTGCCTGGAGAAACTGAGTTATGCTAAAAAGCACATCCATTTGGGGATGACTGTGCTCAAGAGGAGCATGTTGTCTTTAGGGGAATGATATACTTGGAAAGGGAAAAAAAGAAAACGTATGAAGGAGGGGACTTCCCACAGAGGCTCCAAAGCAGGCCCCAGTCTCTCTCAATGGTCACCTGGTCCTGCTCCCCATAGCAACTCCTGTCTTCTTTCCTGCCTGCATTTCTTTTTTCTCTTTTGTCTCACAGAGAATCCTTCCAACATCCACTTTATTGAGCAACTTGGTGGACTGGAAAGGAGTCTGACTGGGCTGAACCTGCATCTCAGCACTTCCTTTTGCACAGGTGCCGTCTTTTCTGGCAACTTCCTGGATTCCCTCCTGGCCACAGTAAGTGCAGCTAAGTCAAGGAGCCCCTAAATCCACGCCCCTGTGTAGAGGTGAGTGGGAAGGTTGGGCCAAGTAGATGAAAGCTCACAATTCCAACTCTCTTGATTTTCAAAAATATCTTGTTCCCATATGCGATTTCACTTTTTCTTACAATCACTTGAGAAGAGAAATGAAACACTCACATTATTAAGACTACAAACATGAATCTCTTGGCAGGAGGGATGGATGGTGCTGGCCTAGCAGATTCAGATCCTGATTTCTCTTCTCTCTAGAATCTCCTCCCAACATCTCACGAACAAAGCAGCCCTAAAGTGACTAGGGGCTTCAAGGAAAGAGCCTTGAGCTTCAGTGGTTTTGCTCAGAGACAAATCAAGCCCTCATCCATATTGCCCTCCTCCTGGGATGTGTGTTAAGTCCACAGTGACTGCCCAGGCCTCTGCACTTCTTTGGTGCCAAGCAGATCTCTTGCATCCACTATGGATTCCCCCGAATGGAATCCACTCCCCATCCAGCAAAGCTACACAGCCCTGTGAGGGACACAGCAGCGGTGAGGCTAACAGAAGCTTCCATCCCTGTGGAGCTTTGCACTCTTGGAGGAGACTGACATATGCCAGATCAGTAACATAGAAAGATGTCAGACAGAAGGGCTAAGAAGAGGTAAGGGACACCGGGAAATGTAGGCTTTGGGGAAGGAGTGGCAGGTATCAGTAGGAGGCCAGAGAAAGTAGAACTTTGGGAAGTCAGCATCTTTGCCAAGCTCTGGAGGAGAGGAGGGTTCAGGGAAAGAGTTAATGCTCCAGGCAGATCTGTGAGGTGGGAGCACTCCACAGGTGTAGGAGAAACTGGACCTTGAAACCCACAGAATCTGGGTACAGCCACTTGTGACTGCAAGGACTCCAATAAGGGAATCTACAAAGACTACTGCCTCATAGATCCTTCCTACTAGGATTTTGCAAAGAAAGAGTTATGAAAAGGTTGAACATCAACCTGCAGATGATCACAGGCACAGCATTTTGGGCACAGCTTGATCAATGTGTGGTGTCGTGGAGTCCACATAGAAGAGGCATCATTCCTGAGTTGTGTAGGGTTGGTCCTCAAAGGCTCAATTTCCACATTCAGGAGAGTGTGGATGGGGTGTATGCACCCCTCTCACGGCAGTGAGGCCATTTATATGGAGGGGATTATGTGGCTCGACCTCTCTGAACCACAGTGGGGGGCTCATAAACCCCCCTGAGCTCTCAGACAGAAGATGCTGCCATAGTAGGAGAGAACATATTGAACAAGCTAAGAGACTACAGGTCCGTAAAGAGTTACGCAGCATTCAGCCTCGCCTGAGCCAGAGGGGACTGCATTGAAGGGAGTCAAGTCAGGTTGCTTTTCTAAGAAGGTGGCTCTGTCAGACAGAGTATCCTATCACTGTCTGTCACTGACACATCCATTAGCTTGCCTTGAATTAATGACTGGAGTGCCAGGCAGAAGGTGACTTTCGATGAACTTGACCTGTCTTCAGGAGACATTTCAGATGGGTTTAAGCTCCCAGTTCTCTTCAGAGACTCTTCGGTAGCAGGTGGCTTCATGCCTTAAATTAAACGTGAGACTTAATTAAACTCCACTGCCCCACAGGTCCACACAGGCAGGAACAAAGCCACAGATTCTATTTAGAGTCCATCAGAAGGATGGTGTCCCAGCCCATTTTGTATTGCTATGACAAAAGACCCGAGACTGGGTCATTTATAGACCGTAGAAGTTAATTTGGCTCATAGCTCTAGAGGCTGCAAGTCAGAGGTGGGTACCTTCCTGTGTCATCCCAGGATGGAAACTGAGAAAGCAAAGAGCATGTGCATGACACAGAGGGCAGGAGACCACACTCATCCTTTTTCTGGGAGGGTACCAGGGATCGAACTTGGGTCCTTGTGCTTGGGAGGCACACGGCGGAACCACTGAGCGAAATCCCTAGCCCCAGACTCTGCCTTTTCATCAGGCACCCATTGCTGTGACAACTAACCCAGGCCCGAGGTAACAGCTCATCTCTCATGTGGGCCGAGCGCTTAGAACCTGTCTCACCCTTCATGCCCACATCTCAACACTGCTGCAGTGGGGATTACGTTTCCCAGACATGCTGTTTGGAGAACACATCGAGGCCACAATAGCAGGATAGATGAAGACCTGAAGAAACAGAGATAAAGACAAATGAAGACACCATGTGGAGATGGAGTTGGAAACACAACTTGGTGATTAGGAGTCTTGGATCACGTGTTGGCACTGGGCCCAGAGATGTTGGCCATCACTCATGACAGGAGGGTCTCATTGGCCGTGTACCATCTGAGGAGTGCCACTCCCTCCAAGGTCACCCTCTCACACTGTGTGACCAGCTTTTACTCAGTGAAAGAGGCTGATATTTTCCTGGGAAACAAAACAAGTGGCATGACATCTCAAGAAGTTTATTCTAAGACCTCATGGTGAAATCGAAGGGGGAGAGACAAAGTCAAATAAGTGTGTCCTGTATGCCCTGTTGTCCCCTGTCACATGAGGGCACAAGCCAGATTGGGCCATCAGCTAGCTTCTAAAAGCCCCTGGTAAGCACTTAAGTTAGGACTGGCCTTGTTCAGCTGGATATAAGGAGGTCAATGAAGCCTCAAGGACAGAAACACCACTTAAGTTAAAGAGGCTAGATTAGATCTTAAGCATCTAAATATCTACATTACAGCCTTCTATGCTAGCTATTGACTTTCTAGTGATGTGTGGCGTAGGAAAATGAATACACTGTAACAGTGCTGAAAGGGTGAGCTGATCCAGGCCACTGGCGATCACCATGGGTGCTGCTTATTCCTCTTTCCTTTCCCAGGGCCTAGTGGGACTTCCGGGGTGGGGGCCCACCGTGCATACAGAAAGAGAATCCAAGGGTCAAGCGGCAGTGGATCCTGGGCCTCGACTTCCACTGTCTCCTCTTTTCTGGGTTCCCTTTGATTCCGGCTGCCCCCCTGCCTATGCTGCCTGGTCACATGGAAATAGCTGCAGGGAGGAAGAGAACATTCAATCATCCTCTACTCCACACATTTGGACTCCCTGAGGCGGCTCCAGAATACGCTGTCAAACGCTCTGCTTCTTGACATATTTACTAGAGCATCTCCTATCTGAGTATTTCTCCCGTCAACCCAATTGACCCTGAGGCTTGCAGGGGTAAATAATCTGCCAAAGGCCACACCAATAACCAGTTAGTTCTGAGACCCAAATTGTGAATCTAGAGACAGATCTCACTACCATAATCCACTGCCACTCCGGAAATCAAGTTCTGGGGTTGTTAGGATCTTTGAGCAGTGACTTGCAGATTTTGCTTACAGGGATTCATCTCTCTGACTGTTCAGGTGTTGCTCAGGAGATAGGCAGAAAGGAGACAAGGAATCTCCCCGTGTGCTGCTCTTCTATTAATCAACACCACTTTTATCTGTGTGACATCTGAGACAGCTATATAAGATTTCACTTGCAAAAAGATTTCTGCTGTTAAGATTTTGGGAAACCACTCTCTAGAAATTGGAACATACTCTTATCAGAGATAAGTAAAACGTTCCCCTCAGTTCCAAGACTGGTTTCCCAATTCCTGTCTCAAGTCCTGTGAGGGAGGCAGGAGTCAGCATGCTGCCCATTCTGTGCGATCCTTTCAGCCTGTGACTTCCCACCCCAGGGAGCTTCTTCTGGATTCCACTCTGGCAGCCTGCTGCTCAGCTTACACTCCAGGAAGAGATCTGTCCCCACTGTTGCCCAGCCAATAGTTAGAATTAGGCTCACACTCTGTGTTTCCCCTGGTGCCCACACTATCAAAAGAACAAGACTAAAAGCAGACTCTCTTTAGAATAGACTCTCTCAGGACAAGGGGACTCACACTTCTGCAGTTTCTGTGACAAGCTGTGAGCACCAGTCTTGGTTTCGGTCGTGGTGAAGTAGTATTTCCCACATGCCATTCAAGGGCGCTCTTCCCTCCCATGTGCACTCAAGAAACCTCACAATATTTCCCATCCTTTCCCTTCCAGTTGCCCCTGGTAAACTCTAAGGAGAACAAATGTACAAGCCCCAAGGAGACAGGAAAGCCTATAACAGCATGCTGTGCACTCGTCACCAGTTAGAGATACTGAGTTCTTTTTTCTGTATGTTCAAGCAATTTAAAAAATTCTATCCTCTGATAGATGTATGATATTTTCCCAAAATAATTTAATGGGTTTTCCCTTCACATCTCCAACTGATACATTTGAAATTAGAATAGTTTCAAATAGCCCCCAGGATACTAGCTAATCTCCTGCCCCAGCTGGAGAAATATGCCTATGAAATACAATTCAGATTTACTTCTAATCCTCCATCAGTTTAATGCTACAGACATCAAAATATGGCAAGATGTTCAGATCCCTATGGAAGACTTCTGTATGGCTTTACAACAGAAGAGTATCAGAAATACATATGGACTTAAGGAGCATTTCCACTTATAAGGAAACAGGCTCACACAGGTTCCATGACATTCTCAAGGTCCTTCGGCTGCCAAGTTAGTTTTCCTACATGTTGCTTCACTCTGATGAACCGGATGTATCTCTCAGAGGATGTTTGGATCTAACAACCTTTGGCGATTCTCAGAATAAAAAGATGCAAGTGAGAAAGATGTTAGTGTCCATATTATTAGCCCGTATTCTAGACTATGAGACATACCTATGCTTCATTGTAACTAAGTGAGTAAACACTATGGATGTAACACTTTGTAACAAGAACGCCCAAATTTGAGCAAATAGTTTTATATTAGAAACACTGTCCAAGTTTAGAAGCCAAAAAGATATTTCAAGTGCACTTCAACATGCAGATTTTCTTGAGAAGGAGAAAGAAAGAAAATGGAAAGAGCAAAAAGGGAGCAGAGGAGAGGGAAGGGAAGAAAACAAGTGTAAAAAGGAAGAACGAAATGGAGGCTGAGAAAGGTCAATGTGAAAAAACACCAAATAAGAATAAGGAGACAAGGGCTGGGGATTCGGCTCAGTGGTCCCACTGCCTGGCTTGCAAGCTCAAGGGCCTGAGTTCGATCCCCCGTACCAAAAAAAAAAAAAGAGATGAACTCACAGAATAAGGGTAATTGATAAAACCCATTATTTTAGCCAATAGAGAATCACAATCCTTTTAATGTCAAAACTGAAGAAATTATACATTCAAAAGCTAAGCTTCCCTGTTAAATACATAAAGCACATGTTTCCCTAGAGCCATCAACAGCAGGATAACCTTAGAATTTATACTGTTTCTTTAATCAGTGGGGAATTATCCTAACAGTATTCTGTTTGATCACCCTACATTTTGGCCACATGTACTTAAATGAATTGTGTCTCAAACCTGGATTTATGTCCTCCACTCCCTCCTGATGTCAGGGGGCTGATTCCATAAATACTCTTCTGGGTGAGAATGGAATTAAAACAAAGCAGAAATGCAAGCAGATATCTCCTCCCATCCGGAGAGTAGGAAGAAGTCATCTTTTAATCTGAAAAATATCATAAAAGTTATATTAATTTTTCTTAAGCCATATAACATGTTATTTTTTAGGTTAATTTATCCATCGCCTCCACATTTTACAAGTAGTTTTCTTGCAGCTTACAAACACCTGCCTTGTGTGAAGCACCGAGGACATAGTGTGAGGTAGAGGGACTCCATCCTGGGAAACAGCACGGGATTTTAGGAGCCTTTGCACTTCCTGTTCTGAGGAAAGAAAGGCCTGGTGTCTGATCCACCAGGAGTGCTTCTTAAAGTCTGGCTTCCACTGATCCATGAGTTCGGCCCACTCATCCAGAAGTTCTGATCCATGAGATCGGTCATCCCCGAAATCTGCACTCCTTCATTTAAGTCCAGATGGTCCAGCTACATGAGTACTGATGATGAAGGGAATCAGAACCAGTAACGCTGCAGCGAACCTCATTAAATCTTGAAAGTCATGGCTATTCTGTATCAACTTTCCAGATTATAAAACTGTTTCTGAGAAAAGCAAAATCACCATGTATTTGGCGAGGATGTAATAGTCCAAGATTCAACCACAGGCACGTTTTATGCAAACCCAAACCCTTTCCTATAAAATACAGAGAAATAAACTAGAATAAAAGCCATTGGTCACAGGACCATGAATAGAAGAACATCATTCTGCCAAGAGGTGCTGGCTGAGGAAGGATGATCCAGGTGTTCCAGGGTACAGAGGAGAAAAAGTAAAGCCCAGGCAGCTGCAGCCTGACCATGCACACTGCTGGGGGCAGTTCACAGAGATCGGCCAGGAAATGGAGGGCGTGTTCAATCATGACAGCTTTGAAGACCTTAGTAAAGTGCTACGAGCTCATTTTCATAGCTGAATTGTACACTAAGGTTTGAGGATGTAGATAGGATGATCCGATTTGTTATTCTGGAAGCACTGTGAACAGTGAATTACAAACGAGAAGAAAGCTGATTCAGAAAAACTAGTAAAAGTTCCTTTTAATAATCCAGGTGTCAGCCAGGCGGGAAGCTGCAGTACTGATAATGCCAGCATTCAGAAGGCTGAGGCGAAAGAATCTCATGAACCCAGCAGTTCAAGGCCAGCTGAGCAACATAACGAGAGTCCACCTCAAATAATAGCAATAATCATGCAGGCTTCAGAAGACATGTCTCTAAATTTAGGAGTAGAGAAAATAAATGGTAAAAATTCTAGAAAACTAATATTATTTTCTTTTAATTTTTTATTTTTTGATACCAAGGATCAAACTCAGGACCTCATGCTTACCAGGCAGGTGCTGTGCCGCTGATCTAAATAACCAGCCCACTAACATTATTCATTATGAAAACAAAATTATTGATTTTATGATGGATATTATATAAGATCATATATTCTCTTTTCTACTGAACTAAAAGTCCAATTAAGAAAAAGAAAAATTTTTAAATTACATATATATATATAACAGATTTAGAAAAAACCACCAGGTAATACATTGTAATGGTATTTACATGTATGTTAATGCCTGGTTTACACTAATTGTGGTAAGAACTCTGAAGAAAGAATTCATGAAAATATTTAGGATTATTCACATTCAAGTCTGTTTCAGAGTAAGTTGGCCCGCACACAACCATCTAGTTTAATTTCAATGTCAAGAATGCCAAAATCTCATTTATCTATTTGTTCTGCACCTATAATTCCTGAAATATACAATAATAGCTATGGGATGTCCAAATATCAATAAGACCTAAGCCAATATCTGCCCTTAAGTAGGTCAGAATCCAAAGGAATATAAGTAAATTTACAGCCAAAAAATTGAAGCGTAGACAACAAGAATATCAGTGGTTCCTAGGAGAAAATCTACAGGAAATTCATGTCTGTTGTCTAACGTCATTCTCTGGTCACCTGCAAAAGATGATGATTCTTTTCTTTTCTTTTTTTGGGGGGTTTTTTGAAACAGGGTCTCACTATGTAGTTGAGACTGACCTGGAACTCACCATGTAGCCCAGGCTGGTCTGGAACTCACAGCGATCCTCCTGCCTCAGCCTCCCTCCCTCCCTCCCTCCCTAGTGCTGGGATTACAGTCATGTGCCACCACACCTGGCAGACGACAATTCTTGGTGGCGGCATCATTACCCACTCTCTCCTCCTTCAGGGGGGTGTGTCCCTAGGGAACAGGAACTAGAGACGAGAGCCAGTTGTTTCCTCCTTACCCTAACCCAGCACCCCACTCCAGTTGCCAGCTTGCAGTGGGTTTTCACAGTGACAATGTGAGCCAGCACTCTGTACTTTGGGTCCACCTTCCACAGGGTGCCCTCAAAGGCTCTACGTCAGAGTACTTCCACCATGCACAGGTCGGCTTTCCTGACTTTGCACCTGGCTTGCTTGTCTTTGTCTTCCAGGCCTTCTACAATTACCGGGTCCTGGAATTACTGCAGATGCTGGTGACAGGAGGGATAAGCTCTCAGCTAGAACAGCATTTGGATAAAGAGAAGTTCTGTGGGACTTCTGACAGCTGCTCTACATTCCTGTCTGGAAGAACGCGGTGTAAGCTAGGGCTGCTCTCCTTAAATCAAACCATTTTATCAGACATTAAAGTGAGTCTATTCTTATCATAATAGCTTTTTTTCTGAAAACAGTCCAGATTGGTTGCTTTCATAGATGACTTACTGTACAGAAATAATAACAATGGTAATGACAGTGAAATTATTGCAATCTTGTATTCATACATTATTTTAGAATTCATAGTACATTTTCACAGTTTATGTTTATTTCTGCAACACTCTCAGGTGACAAAACAATTTTTCTGTTATCCACCTTTCATCTAAATAGTCCCAATCTCTGAGAGGCCTGATGTTTTGATTTGGATGTTTCTTCTCCAAGTTCATGTTTTAGAAATTTAACCTCTAATGCAACAGTATTAAGGGGCGACGCTGTTAGTAAGTAATTACCTTATGAAGTCATGATGGATAACTGGCATTATTGGAGAAATGGATTGATGACAATGACAGCGGGTTTCTGATAAAAGAATGAATCTGTCTCCCTTCTTTTGGTTCAAAAGTGGGCTGTCTTGCCTTTCTACCTTATGCCATAAAATGACACAGCAGGAAAGCCACTGCTGGACGCAGATCTCTTGACTTTGGGCTTCCCATTCTCTCAAATTTTAAGAAATATATCTTGATTCTTCATGGATTATGCAATTTCAGGTATCTTGATGTATCAGCATAAAATGAACCAAGATAACTGATAACTTTGTATTTTAACAAGGGCACTACTAATAATCATAATAGTTAATCCTTAGTGAATATTTCCTCTGTGCCTCACTCCTTTATTTTTCACTAAATCTCTCTCAAAGTTTTTCTAGTAGTCATTATTTATCCCCATTTAACAGATCAACAATCTGAGACCACAGAAGCAAGGGCTGAGCTTAGGCCACCACGCTGGCTGCAGGGTCAGGGCAGGTAACCCTTGGAGTCAATCTGACGCAGGGCCGCCTGCTCTCACTATCTATACCTGAAATGCTGAAGACATCTAATCAGATTAGCTGAGGCAGGCAGAACTCTGTGATTTGACCAGAGAATCTCACTGTGTTGAACAGTAGGATGTTTTTGAAAGTTCTTAGCCTGAAGAGCTGATGGATAGTAAAATATAACAAAAGGGAAAATAAAAACTCTGGCAAATCCTAGTGGGGCATCTGGAAGTAGAGTAGTATCAGAGTAGAGTATAGCTAGGACATGAGTAATCTACCTATCAGTGGGATACCTTTTAGTTTATTTTTGATCATCACTGCATCATCCATCTGTCAAGTGTCATTGCTAGGGGCAGACTTGACGAGGAGAGTTGTTGGAGGACATCAGTAGAAGCCCCTTCATAAGGCGCATGCTCCTCTAGGCCTCCGCCTATGAGTCTTGACATTTGCTGCCAAAGAGGATGGGTCCTGGCTTCTGGGCATTTGATTCCCAGTGCGAACAACATGGCAAAGGCTCTACAGTATGATGTGGTCCCTTGGGTTTCTGTGGTCTTGGGTTCTTCACCCAGAGTTGGGGTGTGAGTGATTTTAAGTCCAGAAAACTTTTGCCGGAGGCCACCTGTTGGTATCAGAGGCAACAACAAACGGACTTCACTGTCCTTCCCTCCCTCCATGGGTATCCTGTCCTCACTTTTCTCTGTCCCTTGGAAGTCACAAAACTGAAGAGACTTCTCTTCTTTGACCTTTCTTAAACTATGTGACTTCTCATTATGAACTTCAAAAACTGAATTTTCCAATCAATTGCCCGTTGCTTTTTCATAATGGCTACCAAAGCACCAATAGTAATAAGAAAAAGTATATGCCCCACCATGCCTACCAGAGGCTCCTGAAAGAACCAGAACGATTAAAACAAGCACTGAGAATAGAGTTTCCAGACCAATCATACACTGACATAGTTACCTAGCCATTTGACCTGGCCAAGCAGATATACACTAGGAAATGCCTTTCAGGTCTTCCACATTTCTGCAAAGAATGGAAAATGAAACTCAAATAAGTGCTCATTATGGCTTAATTAAAATACCCAGCAGACATACTTTTTTTTTCTTTTCTCTCCCCAGCCAAGAAACACCTTTGGACAACTATTCTGTGGCTCGTTAGATATTTTTGGAATCCTGTGCGTTGGCCTGTACCGCATGATTGATGATGAGGAGCGTAACCCAGAGCACAAAAGGGGAGTATTTTAGTCTGCAAGGTGTCAGCGACGCACCCCGGAATAAGAGCCAGATCTGTTTCTTCAATGTGAAAGTGAAATCCAGTGCTCAGAGTCTCCGGCAGCATGGAAGGATACAGGGGAAATAGTTAATGGTGTGTAAGAATAGGAAAGAAAGGTTAGAATCAACCAGAACTTGATCAGTTAGGGTCCAATTAATATTGGTCTTATAAGGAGAGTGAAGTTTTTGCTCACAGTGAAAATTGGGCCAGGTTTAAATAAGAGTGAGAGTCACTGCCCACATTAGAAAGTTTTACATGTGTTGCTGCTGTTTAGATATCTACTGAGTGCTTCTTTCTAGCCACTCTAGTGTTTACTCAGAAATCATGAAAGCACTCTGTTCAGATTTCTGTTGTATTAAAGGAAGATCATTCTTCCAGCAGCTGTGAAGATAGAGGAAATATGTGTGGAATCAACAGTTGTATGGGTCCAAGCCAAGATCCTCCTCACTGTGAGGATGGACAGCAATCAGTAGAGGAGGAATTTTAAATAATAAAAAGATTGATGAAATCCATTCCAGGAGAAAGAAGCCCCGTTACTTAATGTGGAGCGGTCTTAAGTAGAAGGAAAAAATGAGAAACAACTTCTCTGCTCAAGTAGAAAAGGGGGAAAGGACAGACGCCCAGGCAGATACAGCTCTAGGTGTGAGGTGCCCTCATGGGGATTTTTATTTAGCAGTAAGATTTCTCAGTGCACAGCTTTTTCTGAGAAAGAAGACTTGAAAAGTAGTATAGGAAGATGAGAACAGGTAAAAATTAAAACGACCTGCTGAGAGGAGGGGAAAGGAGGCTTACTGTGGATTTGTAAAGCAACGCTAGACTGTAAAGTGAAAGAACAAAGGATTGGAAATCTGGACGGAGTTGACAAGGAGATAAGATATACTTAGGGAGTGAGACAGAAGGAGTGATGGGAAGCTGGGAGGGAGAGTGGTTTATTGAAGGTTAAGATTTGTGAGGCAGGAAAGTACTGGAAATTATAATAATGGAGATGGGCCAGGAAGTGGTTTGGAAATGAAGACCACTGGTTAGTGGAAAGTGATAGAAATGTGTCTGGATATTGGAGTTGTAAACCACACAGACACTGGGAAAGTAAGGTGATGGTGGTACTAGAATTTGAAGGAAAGTGTAGCCCGGGTTCCAAGGACCTGAACAAACATGGAGGTCTGTAGACTGCACTGCTGAGTCGGTAGGGCGGTTCGCATAGCTTCATGGGCTTCACCACAGAGACGGAGGGGAGGACTGATGCTTTGCATATTCATTCCCAATCATTCTCTCTCTCTCTATCCCCCAGTCCCACCCCATCACCAACACCTCTAGAAAACTCCTATAACATAGTAATTGGGAAAATATGCACCTTATATTTATGAAGGCCACAAGGAAAGAAACGGCACTTCTGCTTTATAGGGTTCCAGAGGACTCACTGGGAAGATAAGGACAGGCAGATTGTTCTGAGAAGGAAGGTCACTCATGCACTGGGGTCCTTGTTTAGGAAAGAAAAGTGACTACAAAAACACAGGATGAGTCAGGCAAGGTTATCTGCCTCTGTGCCCCGATAGGAACACTGGTTCTTGCTCAGCTAAATTCTCATTTGTTGAAGATTTGCTGTGTTTCTGATATCACCTTACTTCTCCACAAAGTCTTTCCACACAAGTCAAAGTTCAAACTGTTCTTTAGGATTCATTGACATTGAGTACTTGCTTGCCAGAGTTTCAAACAGAATTTTGATTTTTTTTTAAGTGCTTTTCTTCATCGGCCAGGCTACACTCTTCGTGAAAGTTGGTAGTATAAGCGCTAGGTGAAGGTAGGCCTAAGCCAAACTGCAAATGTCTGGAATGCATGTCAGTTTCTGGTTTAATAATGCTAGGTTAACTGTTCAGTATTGTGCCAATTGTAATCATTAGTGCAATGCTTATTAAAAGCAGATAGACCAGGAGTCAGATAGGCCAGCAGAGATCAACTCGTCCAAACCACAGTCTTAGCCTGCTCTCATTGCAACCACAGGAATAATGAGGCCCAGAGAGGTGAGGGGTCACGCCAAGGTAGAGATGACTGCTGTCAGAGGCAGAGAGCAAAGCCAACCCCCTAATTCCTACTCTTAAGTCTCCTTTTGCAGAGCTCCACAGAGCTTTACAATTAATCATAAACCAACGAAGCAAACCAAAACAGAAGCATTTCCTTTTCCAGCCCAGAACAATGATGTCTGTCTTTTGGCCATTGCCTGGAGTCCTAGGGTCCCATCTTCATCTTTGGCTTTTCTTACAGGTTTGTGATCACCCGGCCAGCCAATGAATTTACAATGCTGCCCTCAGACCTTGTGTTTTGTGCTATCCCTTACAACACTGCCTGTTACAAAAAGCATGATGTTTCTGCATCCCAAACTCAGTGTGAAATTATGAATGTAGTATCACTGACACCAGAGATGCATCCAGATACAATGTGTCCTCCCACGAGTGACCCCGTGTAAGACAGCACATTACAGTCATGGTGTTTCCCGATCCGTCTCTGAAGCCAAGAACTTTCTGAGTTTCTATATTTCAGGAAGCAGTGCTGACTCAGAGTAATAAGCTACCACTCCAGAAGCTTCTAGACAAAAACAGTGAAAGAAAATGGAAAGGAAAACATGAAGGAACTTCCAAGGGAGGATGCTCTTCACACTCTGTGCTAAACTAGACCTATCAATGTTTTCCATGAACTCTCAACCTGCTACTTAAAAGCATCGCTAGAGACAGACTTTGAACCAGGAAGGTCAGATGGAAGCAAGCCATTTTTGTGCCCACAGTTTAGAAGTTGATCAGCACGCTCACACTGTTTTGGAAGAGATCTTTGTCCTACTGGATCTGGTGTGATAAATATATGATAAATGCCATTAAAGGAAGGTCATGGCTTTGTTTTCCTTGAGCAGAAAATGGGTTAGTATGAGCTACATTAAAGAAGCCCTCCAGATGGAGAGATGCTGCTGGAATTGGAAGGCAGTTTGTTTATAGGTATATGTCTGGCATATAGTGGGTGCTTAATATAAAGTATTAGAGGAGCTTCGGATAGATGCCTGGGTGAAGTCAAGTACACTGAAACAGATAAACCTTTTAAATTCCCTAACTCAGGAATACAGATACGATCGCATGAACAGTTTAAAACATTCCCCCATATTACATGTTCCAATCTACTGCTCTATAAATTTCATTTTCAGTTAAGTCATTTCACCTAGATATTACACTGTTAGCATAAAACGTTCAGCACAACTAGGAAATGAAAATTCACTCCCAATTGGTGTGAATCTTATAATGATGAGATCAGTAAGCCAATCCTTCTTAAATTATAAATACAACATAGGTAGGAAAGGAGGAGAGAGAAAATTATATAATGTATTTCTCAAAAGTTGTTTTGTATAATGTTTAAAATACACCTTATTATCATCTTTAATAATTTCATATCATTATCTCTGTTTCACGAAGAAAAAGACCATGTCACACAAGTCACTAAATAAAACACATCCACTTTCATCTGAATTTCAAACAAGATATTTTTAGAATAAGCATGTCCAAGTCCCTGCATCTTAACTAGTAAGTGATCAAATCCATATTCAAACTTCATTTGGTTCTAGCCATTATATATGTTATGCCTTCAAACATACAAATGAAACAAACTAAAATAAAACATCAATTCATAGGAAAAAAATATTTTAATTATTTAAGCCTTAAATATACTGAAGTGAACCCAGTCTATGTAGAAAAAAGAATAATTGTAAGAAGAGTTTTCCAGAACCAAGAAAATCTTTAAATTTTTTGTTTGTTTGTTGTTGTTTTTTTGAGATAAGGGCTCACTATGCAGTTGAGACTGACCTGGAACTCACTATGTAGCCCAGGCTGGTCTCGAACTCACAGTGGTCCTACTGCCTCAGCCTCCCAAGTGCTGAATTTATAGGCGTGTGCCACCACGCCCAGCAAAAATTTTTTTTTTTACTTATCACCTTCATTTTACTCCCCTTACACAGACTTTCCTTATTTTTCCATATTTGTTTTGGTTTTTTGTTTGGTTTGGTTTTTTGAGACAGGGTCTCACTATGTAGTTGAGACTGACCTGGAACTCACTATGTAGCCCAGGCTGGTCTCAAACTCACAGCGATCCTCCTGCCACAGCCTCCTGAGTGCTGGGATTACAGGTGTGCGTGACCAAGCCCAGCCCTATTTTTCCATATTCAGAGCAATATATAGCTTTCTGAAATTTCAGATGTATAGGTACATATACGTCAAATACTTAAGGGACTATCTTTTAATACACAAATAACAATACAAATAATGCAGAAATAATCTAATCTCCATTAAAGTAGATAAGCTTGACTGAGAAATGCTTTATTTTCCAGTGTTCTATAGGAACAGCTGCCAGAAATACGGCTAATTAGGAATCTAAAGTCCTGATTTCTGGAATTATGTGATGGGTTCAGCTTTAGCCCCTGCATCCAAACACTGACAGCTGAGCTGTGCATTTCTGAAAGAAGGACCATCCCGGGGAAGGTAGGATAGGCCCAGGGGGACATGGTATTCATCAAGTAAAAGGACAGTAGCATCCCCTTTTCCCGTTTTATTCCTTCGTGGTTTTATAAAAATATAAAACACTCTTGCAAAAAAAATACATTAGCACTATGGATTTCAAAATCTACAAAACACTGCTTCTCATATTTTGACAAATATGTTTAACCTCTTGGATTCTTCAAAAAACTTAACAGACAAATAATTGAGTTTTCAATAGAGTAGAGCAGCTTGAGTGAGAAATACTGTATTCCCAGTGTTTTATGGAAGTGGGTTCCAGACATATGGCTAATGCAATATTGTTATGCTGTACATGGGATCATAGTGCCGGTCTCAATACGTAAAACAGTCTCCCTAAATTCATTTCCAAGTGATCCCATAGCTCTGGATTCAAGCCCTTCACCTATAAATGGCAACGTTTTATCAAAAGTCACAATATCTGATCTTTTGCTAATATTATAAATATTTGTTTCATAATAGTTGTTTATCGTGTATTGAAAGTAGAACCAATATGAATGACATGAATAAAACTTCACAGTTCACAATGCACGGGTTGATATTTACAATTTTTTTAGTTTATAGCATTTTCAAAGAAATCTATATATACACATATTCCACGAATTCATCGCGTGTCAGCCGATATTCTGTGCATCTTTCCAATCCGTAAATCAGACTTCCTGTACCCAGAAGAGTAGTCACAGAAAGAACCCAGAGAGAGGGGCTTAGGTGACTTGAGCACTTGTTCTGGATGTCCCATTAAATTTTGTTTCTTATCTGGGGCCAGCTGTTCAGCCTTTTTCAGCCCACTTTATTGTTTGTGAAAGGCAAACGTTGAGATGGAAGATTTTTGAATGTTACTTCTGCCTTTATCTATTCAACTCTCATATTCCTAACCTACTTCCCATCAGACGCTGGGCGAGACACTGAGGACAGAGTGGTGACAGAGGCAAAGCTGCCTCCTCCATGGGACACATGCACACTCCAGGAGGAAGAGGCAGGAAATAAGAACGCCAGTGTGGTAAGAGAGCAGTGAACCAACCAGAGATGGGTTTGGGCAGCAGGCAGAGCCTGATCAGGAAAGACTCCACTGGCTGTGGGAACAGATTACACTGTATTCTCCGAAATGAGGAGCAGTTTAATCATTTTAAATACTAGGGTCATTGGTGTGATTTATACTCCCAAAGGTCACAGTGACACTTAAGATTTGGGGAAACAACTCATTGAATTCAAGTAGATTTTATCGCTAAAAAACAAAAATGCTTTTGAAAACTGTAGCAAAAGAATTTAGAAATATATAGCATTTCTTAAAAAAAAAAAAAAAAGAACTCCCAACCAGAAGCAAGAGAACAATCATAGGCAGCAAAGGCGTCTACGAGGAACACGTGACTAGTGTCTAAGGATGTTCATTCGGTGGCTGGGGTGATGTCACAGGAAGCCACGGGATATGGGTGCGCACTAAGAATAATTAACCGTCAGCCAGGAAGGATCAACCCATCTGTGAGAGACAGGTGACTCCTTTCAATGGCCCAAGAAAGGAGCAAGAAAATTTATTTTTGCTTAAGAATCTGGGTATGAAAACACGTGCACTGAGAAACTGAAGCCCCAAACTCCTGTCCACATCTACACAAGTGACTGGAGTGTAAAGCCATAAAGAATGGTGAGAACTCTGATTACAGTCCAGCAACACCTGAGGTGCCAGGTGGAGGAAATGAATCATCTTTGCAGGGAAGATTTCTACAACTCGGGGAACACAGGACTCCATCAGGAAAAATGAAAAATACATCCAACACTTTTAAAAAATAGAAATAGAATAGAACAACATGAGGAAATCACCCTCATAAGTGAGATTCAGGAGACAAATCAAACAACAAAGGGTAGCACGACCCCAGAACTTAGACAGTAGAGCAATGTGGAAAAGACCACAAAATTGATATATTTCATATGATGAAAATGGTTAAAAACATGATTAGAAATCATAAGAAAATAAAAGGGAACTATGAAAAATGAACAGGCACAGTTGAATCAAACTTCCAGAAATTGTTAAAGTAAAATTCGATGTATGAATTGAGCAGTAAATTAAAGAGAAGTCTGATGAGTGTATCTCAAATGCAGAGGAGAGAGACTAAGCACATGACAAAATAGGAAAGAGAGGTTTAGAAATACAGAAGAAAGTGAAAAAGTACTATACACAAATAATTTAATTTCCGTAAAGACAGATTAAGTAAAGCAAAAAATACTATAAATTTTTTTTAGGATTGATAAAACACAAGAATCCCAAGATTTAAGAAGTTCTATGCAGGCAAGTTAAAATAAACTTGTATGTGCATACATCCATATCCATAAAAGCAGACAAAGAGGCAGGTTTCCAAAAAGGAGATTACTACTGAGAAATTGAGAGAGGGAAAAAAGATAATGAAACAATAATACCAAAATGTTGAGAAAAACAACAGGAAATGGGCTACATAGTGAGTTCCAGGTCAGTCTCAAGTACATAGTGAGACCCTGTAGCAAAAAGAAAAAAAAAAAAAAAAAAAAACGGGGCAAGG